ATCTATCTATCTATCTATCTATCTATCTATCTATCTATCTATCTATCTATCTATCTATATATATTGCAACCTGTGAAGTTACTCGTCAGCTAAAAGGAAATTTTAGAAATTGCAGCTTGAGGGCAACATTTGGGAGAGGCTGTGTTCACCAACCTGAGAAAACCTTACTCTAGTTACATCCTAAGTATTTTGAGGATAGGTCAGTGGAAGTAAAAATGCTTCTTCTATTTGATATTGGCAAGTTAAAAGGAATACACAGAAACATAATAGTTGCACCCCGAATCTCAGTCTGAGACAGATCAGGCAAGAGTTCATAACTGGCTCACCAAATAAAAGAATGGCTGTATGAAACGAGCAACAACAATCCAGAAAATGCCATTTCTTTATTCCCATAACACAAACAAACCCATGTTCAGATCAGACTTGCTCATTGTATATTGTGTATGTATTAATAAAGCGAGCATGTTTTATTCATATGTACTTGGCAACATTTCCTCATTAGTTTTGCTCATCACTTCCTGATCTGTCTACTCCAACCACAGAGGAACTACACTGGTGATACTTCAATCACTTATTCCTTCATAGTTAAGGGATCTGTCCATTTTTCTTACCTCCTCTAGTAGCCGACAAAGATGTGGAGCAGTCTATGGGGGAAATAATACACAGTGGGTTTGACCATGTTGTCCAAAAGCAGAATAATGTACCATAGTAATACAGATACTCCTCAGCTTACAACCATTCATTTAGTGACTGTTCAAAGTTACTAAAGCCCTGAAAAAAAGTGACTGATGATTGTTTTTCATGCAACCATTTGGACCATCCCCATGTTCATATGATCAAAATTTGGACACTTGACAACTGGCATGTATTTATGACACCTGCAGTCTCCTAAGGTCATGTGGTCACCTTTTGTGACCTTCTGGCAAGAGTTAGAGTCACTTAACCAACGTATTACTAGCTTAACAATGCCAGTGATTCACTTAACAACTGTGGCAAGAAAGGTCGTAAAATGGGGCAAAACTCATTTAACAACTGTCTTGCTCGGCAATGGAAATTCTGGGCACAGTTGGGGTTGTAAATCGAGAACTACCTGTATATGAATTATACATTATATATCATTTTAGTAACAATTTAATATTTCTCCTAATACCTAATCCTTAACGCTAAGGTGTGTTTGCAGATTCATACTATACATGCCTCCTGAACCTGCCAGGCAGATTTGAAAGCTAAATGCCGCGTCCCAAATATGCTCTCCATCGTGTGTGTGTGTGTGAAATAAACTCCCTAAAAACCTGGTTCTAAATGTCACATACTTCTTGCTAACATAAATGGATATGTCTAGCTGCAATAACAGGTCTGACTTACAAGCCTTGTGTTCTTTGCAGTCCAGCCCTCTTGGGCAGAGAGAGAGAGAGCGTGCTAATCAAGTTCTTGCAATCTCCGAATGATTAAAATAAATAAATAAAAATAAAATGAAGTCTACCTGACTCTAAGCAAATCTGTATACAGGCAGCAAAAAGAGCAGAGGGCCCATAAGGATACAGAACGCCTACTGTGTGCCTTGGACGGGGATGCCTAAAGCTAAAATAGCTACTTAAAGCCACTTCTAAATGCCAGCCAGTGTGCCTGGCTGTTCTGAGTGCTTTGGTTATAAACAATCTTAATAATGCTGCTCAGAGGTAAATAGTGTCTGCTAAGTGCAGATAGAGTCAGCTCAGGGTGGCTTTATCTATCAAATGAGAATGTCATTAAGGTTAATGTACAGCCCCTCTGCTTTCATAATGAACAATGTGCCACATTGTCAATTCAGTTTTGCCTTTTAAATCACTCCTGCTGCCCCCCCATTACTTGCATACTGTAGACCTTTTGAAAGCTTCCAGAGTCACGGGCATATTTAAAATGCTAGGGATTTTTCTTTGAGACATCTGGGCATCTCTTCAGGAGACAAACACTGGTCCCTCAGCCCTAGGTGAGTTACCAAAAAGTACGAACAAAGCTAAACTAGATCTAATCATCTAGAAAGTCTTGATCCCAGTGCTGGGAGCAGTCATTTTCTTTCAAAAGTTGGCCTGAATGTTCTGTCGTGAAATTGTCCTGTGCAACCCCCCCCCGAGATGCAATGGCCATATTGCATACAGATGTTGAGATAATCCATGGTCATTATTGCTGGAAATCTATATCCAATGTTTATGTCAAAACAAGCAAACATAAATTATATATGCCTCAGATGGACTGCAATGTATATCTCAAAGAACAGTCAGAAAGGGCACCAATTTTCCTTCCGAGGTGATTCTGCCTCATTGCCTTTTATTAAATTTTCATCACTCTGCTGTAATGCTGCTGAGCTCTGCAGGAATGCATTTTGACCTAGAAATTATACATCATCTAATTGTTTTCTGAAGTACAGATCTCTCTCTCTGTTGTGTACATTTGTAGTTGATATTACACTTGGCATCAGTCAACTCTCAGCTTTGTGACTTTCAAAGTCAACCAAAATGCTTATGTCCTTCAAAATGAAGATTGGATTTTAAAAGAGGGAGAAAGAGAGATCTGCAGATAAACAGCTCCATCAGTGCTAGTGGTCTCAAGTCCAGCATTGTCAATGTATCTATGGGGACTAGTTCAGAGGCTAACAGATGAACTAGGCTTATAGAACTGGAAGACTCTTCCCAAGTCTAGAGTCCTCCAGGTGTGCTAGGACAGAAACTCACATTATATGTGCCAAGCCTGGACATTCTAGGAATTTCCATCACATCTGCAGGTCGCCAGGATGGGGAATATATTGGTATAAACTCAGGGACGTGCATTCACTAGAGGCAGGGGAGGCAGGGCCTCACCAGTCTCCNAGTAGATTGTGAGGATGTGCTCACCCAACAAAGTCTTAAATTCCTCTTTTTTTCCCATGCAATCAAAGAAATTCTGCCTTTAAACTGGTGAATTTAGTAGTGATGTTGTATTTCATTTAGTCCTAAGGGCATGTAAGGGGGGAAGGGAAGCTACCATGTAAAAGAGGAGAAATTGGGGTTTCTGTGCTTAGTACCAGAGGGAGACCTTAAACTACTGAGGATGGTTGAAAGGGTAACTGTTACATCCGTCTAACAGGAAAGGGTGCATGCTGTAAAACCTGTTTCCAATTGAAGGGTAAAATAAAAGCAGGTTAGAAGCAAACCCATCCTCCATTGGTGTTAAGGCATATGTTTCTAGCTAAGATATTTCCACATGGGTTTCATAATGTATCGGTAATGGACTCTTGTTTGTATCAACACTACTTTTCTTTAACTATTTCTAGAAATTAATATTAATATTAAACATTTGTATGCTGCTTGGCTCCCAATGACTACAGACAGTTCACAAGTAAGGACATTGGTTAAAAATACAATAAGAGACAAAAGAATAAAGATGACAAGAACCAGACAGGGACAAAAAAGAAAAAAACCCACATGAACCAAGGGAGATTCACTCACCT